CTGCAAAATGTCTTGATAAACTCTGGGATTTATTTTCCCATTAATGACAACAATCCGTCCAGACCCTGAGGCAGCAAAGCAGCCCCAAACCATGATGCTCCCTCCGCCATGTTTTACAGTGGGGATGAGGTTTTGATGTTGGTGTGCTGTGCCTTTTTTCCTCCACACATAGTGTTGTGTGTTCTTCCCAAACAACTCAATTTTGGTTTCATCTGTCCACAGTATATTTTGCCAGTAGTGCTGTGGAACATCCAGGTGCTCTTTTGCAAACTTCAAACGTGCTGCAATATTTTTTTTGGACAGCAATGGCTTCCTCCGTGGTGTCCTCCCATGTACTCCATTCTTGTTTAATGTTTTCCTTATTGTAGATGTGTCAACAAAAATGTTAGCATGTGCCAGAGATTTCTGTAGGTCTTTAGCTGACTCTAGGATTCTTCTTTACCTCATGAAGCATTCTGCGCTGTGCTCTTGCAGTCATTTTTACAGGACGACCACGCCTAGGGAGAGTAGCAACAGTGCTAAACTTTCTCTATTTGTAGACAGTCTGTCTTACCGTGGACACATGAACATCAAGGCTTTTGGAGATAATTTTGTAACCCTTTCCAGCTTCATGCAAGTCAACAATTCTTGATCGTAGGTCTTCTGAGAGCTCTTTTCTGCAAGGCATGGTTCACATCAGACAGTGCTTCTTGACACCAGTAAACCCAAAACAGGTGTGTGTTTTTAAAGGGCAGGACAGCTGTCAGCAACACATCCAATATCATCACACTGATTGGAGTCATGGTTGGCTCAGTCCTGGCTCCAATTAGCTCTTGGAGAAGTCATTAGGCTAGGGGCTCACATACTTTTGCCTCCCTGCACTGTGAATGTTTACATGTTATGTTCAATTAAACCATGGCAACATCTAATGTTTGTGTAGTATTATTTTAAGCAGACTGTGTTTTTCTATTGTTGTGACTTAGATGAAGTTCAGAGCACATTTTATGACCAATTCATGCAAAACTCCACGTAATCCCAAGGGCTTCACATACTTTTTCTTGCAACTGTAGGGCAGTCAGATAAGGATGAGGTAAGGCCTTCCCTCCAGTGGATAGAGAGGAGAGCAGAGACATTCCATAAGGCTCCTTGCCAGGCAAGGGAATAAGTTCCTTGATTTGTGACAGTTGGCTGCAGCCTGATTTAAAAGGCAGCCTTGTGCCATATTCTTTTTGTTGGAAACAATGTCTGATGTCTAGCTCTTATGGGGCATTCCTATGAATCCTGTTTGTGTAAAATATCTTGAATCTTTGACCTCTAGACTGGCTGACAACCCAGACCTGACTCTTGGAACCTTGGACTGATTTGGTGCTTTTCTTCTGTGCGCTCTTATTTAAAAGCTAATCTTTTAGGCAAATGTCTGAGACTGTTTGGTTCACTTGCTTTGATTGTTCCAATTCTTAACCTTGAGCAAACTGTGAATTGCCATAATAACTGTATGTGAGTCATAGTGCAACCAGAAGCAAGATGGATAGTAGTAGGAACTGAAGTATTCCCATTGCAACTAGCAAATTTGATCAGTGTTTTAGTAGCCTTTTGAGCCTGGACTGTGGCTTCACAAATATGATAGAGCCAAGAAGAAGAGGACTCAAAGTAAATCCTAAATGCCTTTGCCTACTTCATTTATTTACCCTGTCTCTCAGTAAGGCATTATTCACTTAATGCCCAGAGGCTGCAATGAAGCCCAGCTTGAGTTAAACAGAGAATAGCAGTGCCATAAGCATAGACAAGCAAGAAGATTAAACTGTACTTCAATGAAGGAAGGAGTGGAAATTTACATTTAAAGAAGTTTATACAATTCCTTTAACATTGAATAAACAGGTGCAAAGATATTTGCTTGTGCACAGGTAATAAAGACTGAGATATCCTCCTCATGAAGCATAAAATGTAGATGCAACAAATGGCAACTGACAGAAGCTAATTTCAGGTAATTTCTGGCAGAATCACCTATGAAGGATCAACCCAAAAGCTGCCAACAAATCAGTGAAGATGATCTAGAGCAGTGTTGGCGAACCTTTTTGGCACAAAGTGCCGAAACACGGGCACACGGGGAAGCAGCGGAAACTGGAAGAGCAGCTCCCCAATGCCATGTGCTGGAGCGCCGGAAACCGGAAGAGCAGTTCCCTGGCATGTGTGCATCCGCCGGGAAGCCTAGCTTCCGGTTTCCAGCGTGCGCATGTGCGCCGGTCACCTGGTCTTCTGGTTTTTGGCCCGCACAAAAACCAGCTGGCCAGCACGCATGTGCACACTGGAACCCAGAAGAGCAACAAGCGAAGGCTGGCGTGCCTGGAGAGATGGCTCTGTGTGTCACTTCCAGCACGCATGCCATAGTTCGCCATCACTGATTTAGAGGCTCCTTCAGATACAAATGGCCCTAATGCTGCTATTCTTTAAATATGACCTGCTTTTACAACCAGATTTAATCTAAGATGGGATGTGGGCCTCTCTGGGAGGGATTTACAGATTTTTAGTAGAAGTTACTACTGTTAGAGTAGAAGACATGCCGATTTCTGTTTCTATTCTGTTGGCTGTCTTAGATCTTTGTTTTTAATTCTGTATGCTATCCAGACTTGTCAACCCAGAAGGTCTCTGTAGAGAGTAATCTGACACATAGAAATATGAATTAATAAATAAGTTAGTAAATTAATAAATACTGCAGGGGTCATTGCAATTTTTTTAGCCAAATGTGGATGGCAGTAGCTTGATCTTGTACATGCTTCTGCAATTGGTGAGGCATTTAATGCTTTATGAATGCATTTTAGCAGCTTGATGGGCTTAAGTAAATTATGTAATAGGGGTTCAGATAAGATTAGAAACTGAGTGACTGCTACAGCAATTACCCGCACATTAAACCACTTGACTTGGGAATTATGTACAGGTAGTATTTGACTTACAACCATTTGTTTAGTAATGTTGGAAGTTACTACGGCACTGAAAAAAACTGACTTATGACTGTTTTTCACAGTTATAACCAATGTAGCACCCTTGTAGTCACATTATCAACATTTGGGTAATTGGCAACTGATATGTATTTATGATGGTTTCAGTGTCCTGGGGTCATGTGATCTCTTTTTGCAATTTCTGACAAGCAAATTCAGTGGGGAAGCCAAATTCACTTAACAACCATGTTATCTTAACTTAACAACTTATTTATTTATTTATTTATTAAATTTTTATACTGCCCCCTCTCCCAAAGGACTCGGGGCGGTGAACAGCCAAAATTAAAAACACACAATACAAATATTAAAACACATTAAAACGAAATTAAATTATCTTTGGCTTCTCCAATTTAAAACCCCTTACCCATAAAATTCCCCAATTAAAAGATTTTTAACCCAGCCCAGCTTGCTGAAATAAAAAAGTCTTCAGGGCCCGGCGGAAGGTCCGGAGGTCCGGGATCAGTCGTATCCCTGGGGGTAGCTCATTCCAGAGGGAGGGTGCCCCCACAGAGAAGGCTCTTCCCCAGGGGGGTCGCCAGCCGACATTGCCTGACAGACGGCACCCTGAGGAGGCCCTCTCTGTGGGAGCATGTTGGCCGGTGGGAGGTTATCGGAGGCAGAAGGTGATCTCGTAAGTAACGAGGTCCTAAACCAACTGCAGTGATTCACTTAACAACTGTTGCAAGAAATGTGAAATGGGGCAAAATTCACTTAACAACTGTCTTGTTTAGCAATGAAAATTTTGGGCTCAACTGTGGTCTTCAGCTGAGAACATTTTCTGAACCAAATCATTGCGAGATCAAATGCCCCAGATGGTAGAAAGGGATCACAGTCAGAATGGAAAACTATTTCAAGATCATAACTGCCAAGAAGAAGTGTGTTAGGTATCAATTATATAATCAAAGATAGAAATGCTCTTTTGGCCCCAGAAGGTGTATTCTCCTTCTAATCTTGGGAGGCTAAGCCCTTTAAAATTTGTAAGCAATCTTTAATAGACAAAAGAATTAACTTGCAGCCTCCTGAAATGATGCATTTGTCTTTAGAATGCTGAGGGCCAGATTGAAATAGCTTGTCTAAGTAATTTTTTTTTTTTTGGCATTAAAGTGAGAAAGGAAATGATTCATCATTGCATGGAACCATGGAGATGACCTTGGAGAAACCATCCAGAAAGTGTTAAAATAATAACAGATGCAGAGCATGTGCTGGCCCAAAGGAGGTGGGAAAATATAATTGTAGTCTTCTTGTGGAAGCAGATCTGGTCTACCTCATAGGACTAAAAATCATCAGGACTGCCTGCATTGAGGTCTCTGACTAAAATCAAGGCAACTTTGGATCTATGAGCTCAGTCCCAATAAAAATTTATCCAATAAACCCCAAGAAGCATTCATGGGGAGCAATATATACATTAACCAAGAACAGGTTTAGACCTCTTAGTTTTTAGCTCTAGAGAAATGGCCAGGGAAATATTTACTATAGAGAAAAAAATGCTTGGAGTTTGGTTACAGTCAGGATAATTATAACTCTAAACACATAATTTAGAATTATAGGAATGAAATCTTACTTGATTGCAATTTAATAAAGATCAACACAGTCTACTGATTAAGGACTCGGCATCAAAACAATGGTTCACATCAATCATTTGGAGGCTAGGAACAAAAATGCTTCCTTTTATTTCTGCCATCCACCTCCATAAACACTTGCTGAGCTCTGTAGTTCCTTTCTTTGATTTAAGCAACTAAAGAATCACTTCTCACATACTATAGTTTTCAGACTTTTGACCTAAACTTGACTTACTGTTTATTCTCACTTTGCATGCCAGCTTATTTTTCATTACTATGATTAAAGATTTAGCTTGTTGAGGTTAATTTATACAAGAGACAGAATACATAGAAACATCACCTTTGCAGTGCCCCACATAGCATTTCACTTAATGAACTCTTAGCCTGTGTGCTAGCTTCTTTCTGAACCATCCATTCATCGGTAGCACAAAGTATCCCACACAGACGGGAGAATCCAAGTTGCTTTTGTTTGCACAAGTAAGTACTTTTTATAGCCATTATATTTTGAATAAATTATTTCTTACTTTATCATTAACAGATGCTGGCACAGCACTTTATTTGTAGAGGAGAGAGACCAGAGTTTTTCAACTACACTCTCTTGATTATTCAGGGTGTTGAAAGTGTACTGGTGTGAGGCTAAAACACAAAAGAGCAATTTGTTAGCATTTTAAAGGCTTAGACTGCAGACTTAGTCCATAACTCTGGATGTTTAGCAAATGAGCTGAGTCAGGGAGTTTTGTTTCATAGCCTGAATTTCTTATACATAAAATCTGAGTAAGTTCAATAACACATCAGTGCAGCATTCTCAATTCTCTAAAACACTGATTTCATCTGCTGCCAACCTTGGATATTCTGGATTTGTTCAGCCTGTCTATACCTCTGCTGAATTTGTGAATTCTTCATCCTTTTGGATTCCAGTTGCTTCAAACGTCTGCTTCTCTCAACAACTGGGTCACTCCATTTCTTTAAGGTCCCCTTCCTGTCACTATCCATCTTTATATTCTGAGGAAAATAAATCTTTCATTATTTAGAATGAAATATCATAAAGGACACTAGGATGAATGAAAAGTAAGTCAAAGACACCTGGAACGTATACCTTCAACTTTTTAGACTTCAGATGAAGAATATATAAGCAGATGAGGGGAAGAGTAGACCTGAGAAATGTTTAGTCCTTGAGAAATTATATTGTTACCTAAAGAACGCAAATGAGGATTTGTTTGAAGGAATGTTTACCTAAGTTGGACACTCACAATTTCTAGTCCGGATTAGAACCCAGTATGCTAAATGCCTATTCTGAGGGCCTTTACAACCCTATTACAAGATGTCTGTGCTCAAATAGGCAAAACTTTTCCTTTCATTCAATCAATCTCATAGTCGGTTCATGATTTGCGGCAATACCAACTATCTTTCAGGAAAAATATACGGTAACTGAAGTGATGGAGGTCAGTAAAACAATTTAAGGTATCTGATTAAGTTCAATGAGCATCTCATAATGCAGCTAGTGGATACAGTGGGGAAGATGGAATGGACCATCCTGAAAGAAGAAAGTGCTGACAGAACTCAAGACCCACTTTTGATGGAATCAACTTAGATAACTCCAAGCTAACTTGGAAATGAAAATCAGGTACTGAAAAACACACTAATGTGTACTTAAAAATTAGGGAGTAAATCTTGGCCTACCCGAAGTGTAAAAAGAAATACAGATTTCTACATCAAAAGAAAACCAATATTTCAGAAAGTTGACCCTGTAGGTTTGTAAGGACCTGAGGAATTTTGAGTGCGTGGAGATGAAAATACTGGACTAATTTATTTTATTGTGACAGCCTTTGCCTATCATCTTATCCTAAACCAGGGTTGTCTAACCTTTGCTAGCTGAGGAATTTGGGGAGTTGAAGTCTATAAGTCTTAAAGTGGCCAAGGTTGGACACCCCTGTTTTAGCCTGCCTATTGAAAGAGGGAATACTAAACTTTCTTGTGTTTTTGAATAACCTCTGAGCAAACAAAGGAAATCCTATCCTATTGTATGCTTTGCACATTGTCAGGTATAGTCTGGACTTAAATTATTTTTATCCCAATCTTTTGTTTTATTAGGGTTTAATTGTGATCAGGAACTATCAAAATGCTCAGAAGCTGCAGTCTGAGATAGGTAGGACACTGTAAATGAAAATTGCCAATTTCCTATACCCCTAGAGTTTTTATTCCATCTGACCTTAGCTACAAATACAACCAGAAATTGTACTTGTAAGATTGATGTCAGCCTTACTAGGTTGACCAGACAGGAAACATGACAATATGAGCTAATTCTACTTTATTGTAAAACTACATTGTCAGAATCTTGCAAGTCCAAAAGTACAAATCTCCCGCTTTCTCCATTAAAGCCCTAGAAACTAGGGAGGATCTCTTCTGAGCAGGGGTGAAATCCAGCAGGTTCTGACAGGTTCTGGAGAACCAATAGCGGAAATTTTGAGCAGTTCAGAGAACCGGCAAATACCACCTCTGGCTGGCCCCCGAGTGGGGTGGGAATGGAGATTTTGCAATATCCTTACCCCAGGAGTGGGGAGGGAATGGGGATTTTGCAGTATCCTTCCCCTGCCACGTCCACCAAGCCACACCCAAGCCACGCCATGCCCACCAAGCCACACCCACAGAACTGGTAGTAAAAAAATTTGGATTTCACCACTGCTTCTGAGCCTCTTGCTCCTCACATTACCCAGCTGCGGGCTATGCTGGGTAATGTAATAAGACCATAAGAATGGTCTTATCTGACCATTCCCTAGGCAGTATTTCATGTCCCATTTTCCCAAGGTCATTCCCACATACCATTACAGCTTTCTTCTCTCTGGATCGGAGCTCTAGGCCTCGGCAAATCTGACCTGTCATGCATCAGATCCTCAGCCCTGCAAAAGGTCAACCGTATTGATCTCTCAAGTTGTCAACACTCACATTAAGCAAAGGCTAACAAGACAGGAAGGGAAGAGCGCCAGAACTGCTTTTCATCCTCAGATCCTGGCTCTTATTCCATAGTCACCATTTCTCCGGGTCCATATAAATCCTAGCCGGATGAGCCACCAAAAGAGACCCTGTGCCTGGAAGAACCAAGGGTGAAGATTAGCAAACAATTGCACAGGAATCCATGTAGATGGAAGGAGAGCCTTCTCTAATCAGAGATCTTCCAAGTGTGTTGATCTACAATTCTCTCTAGAAAGAGCAGTGCCTATCCAGGATGTGGCAATAGGACTTATAGTCTGATATACTGTAGAAGGCAACCTATTGGGGAAGGATAGCCTGGGGATAACATAGTAAACCAACAAGAAAAAGAACCCAAGACTTGTGATATAATCATGAAACCTTACCTTTCTATCCTATTCACTTTCCATTTCCCCTCCCCCTCCTCAAGTTTGGACAAGAATGACAAATGCCTCAATTAGTAAGCAAATTTTGCCAATCGATTCCTTGAAGCATTGACGGTCAGGTCTGATCAATGTCGCCAATTATGCCTTATAACAGGCATCCAATACATAAATGTATCTGGCCCTTCCCAACATAGGAACATTCTTTACCTTTGTTTCGCTTCAAAGCTGAAGACACAGGAGAGACTTCATTGGTTGGATTGTATTATAGCCAAGGATCCCTTTGCTTTTTCCTCAACTGAAGAGAAAAAAAAATTGTTAAGAGGGACAGGATGCTTCTCTTCCTGCCTAAAACTCAGAATTAAGCCCAATAATATCCCCAAACTGCAGATGAATCCTAAGGCAAGCTAGAAATGATTCTAAGTGCTCAGATGAAGAAATCTGAGAAATAGACTTTGCTCTTAAATTACTAAAATAGACATGTTATGACTGAGCAAGTGATAGGATAAACATTCATAGGGTCTGATCATTTTTGTGGGATGAACATGTAATGGATCTCAGATTGTTTATTTTTATGGGCTGTTAGCTGCTCAGAGTCATGGTGGTGAATTGGGTGGCCATGGGGAAGGCAGGCAGGTAGGCAGGAAGAAGGAAGGAAAGGAGAGAGAGAAAGAATATCTGTCTTTTAATCTGAGCAGTTTCATAAGCAGAGTCAGCTTCTTTATAATTATTGGGAAAATGTTCCAATGTCCAGATCTCCTGTTCTCTTTAATTTAATTATGCTGCAACACAGCTTCTTTACGGGGGTCCATTGCCTGTTATTATTCCAGTATTATTCTGTTCCTGTTATTCCTCCAGCATGAACTGTCTGTCAACATGGTCAATCTGAACAAATTTCAGATAGCTGGATTTCACTTTTCTATGTCTGGTCATAGCAGGCAATGTCAATAAAGGGGTGAAAGAGAGAGAGAAAAAAGGAAGCGCCTCTTTTTGATACAGGGTCTTTCAAAGGAAATTTGTTGCCTGAAAAATATCACAGAACAACTTCCTACCATCACTGCTCCAAGTCAAAATGCCAAGGAAACAAAACTGATTAGAATATTTTTAACTTAAGCATCTGATATGCAAAAACATATAAAGGTTTTCCCTACCTTGAACTAAAATCAGCCCACCAGAACAACCATTTTCTACTTTCTGACAGGGCTAGTTCCGACCATATCCCAATGTTCTCCTGCTCTTCTAACTCTTTTAACTTTAACTCCATGGGGGCAGGTGTGGGTTCTAAAATTTTTTACTACCGGTTCGGTGGGCGTGGCTTATTTTGTGGTAATGGCTTGGTGGGGGTAATGTGACTGGGTGTGCGTGGACAACTTTTTTTTTTTTTTAAATTTTAAAAGCATTTTTTTCTATAACCTTAAGAGATTGCAGAAAAAAATGCTCTTAGAAACCTCTGACAATCAGGCAACTCAGCTGGGATTGCCAGAGGCTTTTAAAGGCATTTTTTTTCCTGCAACCTCTTCGGTCAAAGAGGTTGCAAAAAAAAATGCTCTTAGAAGCCTCTGACAATCAGGCAACTCAGCTGGGATCACCAGAGGCTTTTAAAGGCATTTTTTTCCCTACTACCACTTGGCCAAAGAGGTTGTAGAAAAAATGCTTTTAAAAGCCTCTGATGATCCCAGCTGAGCTGCGCGATCATCAGAGGCTTTTTTTTTTTTACTTTTAAAAGCATTTTTTGGGCCGAAGAGGTTGTAGAAAAAATGCTTTTAAAAGTAAAAAAAAAAAAAAAGCCTCTGATGAGGTGGGCAGGGTAAGCGACTGGCAATCAGGCCGGGGACCGGTTCGGGGGCGTGGCCAGCCAATGTTATTACTGGTTCTCTGAACTACTACAAATTTTTACTACCAGTTCTTGCGAACTGGTGCGAACCGGGAGTAACCCACCACTGCACGGGGTGAATTTCAGTTTCTCAAGGAAGTACAGATAGTCCTCGACTTACCACCACAATGGAGCCCAAAATTTCTATTGTTAAGTGAGACATTTGTTAAGTGAGCTTTGCCCCATTTTACGACCTTTCTTGCCACAACTGTTAGGTGAATGACTGCAGTTAATAAGTTAGTAACCTGTTAAATGAATCTTGTTTCCCCTTTGACTTTATTTAATAGAAAGTCACAAAAGGTGATTACATGACCTTGGGACACAGCAACGGTCATAAATATGAACCAGTTGCTAAGCATCCAAATTTTGACCACATGATTATGCGGATGCTGCAAAGGTTGTAACTGTGAAAAGCGGTCATAAGTCACTTTTTTCACTGCCGTTGTAACTTTGAACAGTCACTAAATGAACTGTTGTAAGTAGAGTACTACCTGTAGTGCCTTAGAAGGATACATGACCTAAAAACATGTAAATAATTAACTGGTATCCTAAACAGTCTTTAATTCAGTTCTATTTCTTTCTCCTTGCAGTCCTGATTTTGCTTTTTATTTAACCTCTATTTTTTTTCCTAGCCACTCTTATTTTGCCTTTTTGTATGTTATTCTTTACTGAAACTTAATAAAAATTTCAGAAAGAAAAAAAAATAGTTTGGCATTTTTGTGTTAAGATTACTTTTAAAAATGGTAGCAGAACTGGGCTACACCACTCAGGATGACCATTACGTGGCAGCAAAGAGATACAGAAACACTTACTTCTTTTAAAACATAGATAATATAAATTTTTATCAGATCCGGGCTGTGGAAATTCAAAGGACCACTAAATGATAACCAATAGGTATAGAAAAGTCTTGCTTCATTTCTGCAACCTACTGGTGTCTGAATCTTTGAAATCAGGACCTTTGGTATGTCAACCAAAAGCTCTGAGCTGAATTAATCATTGTGCTAATCATATTATGAAGCAGGATCTCAGTCAAATTAAACTCAGCTCTGTGGAGATACAATTACTTGGATTTCTCAGTGTCACAGAAAGCCACCACACTCCCTCAACATTTCCTCCAGCCAAGGCTGTGATGGATATCTTTTCCCTGCAGTGCTGGGAGGTCAGCATCAAAGCTGTCCAACTTGACTGCTAGAAAATTTACAACAGTGGTAGAACAGCTACTACGGGCAATGTTAATTTATTACATGGGTCTCCCAGCCTTCCTCCAGGGAGCTCACAATGACATGCATGTTCCTTCCCTGTGTATCTAATCCAAGGTCACTAGTAAGTAATTGTCATGTCCCAGTAAGGATTTGAACGCAGGTCTTAACCCTGGCATGATCCCCCACAGTTCACCATGAACCATATTTCATTTGGTCATAATGCAATTTGCATACTACGAGCTGAATCAGTGGGATGTATTAACCATGGTTCATTGTTTTAGCATGATGCAAAAACTCAAGTTAATTGTTCTGTACTCAGTTATTATGATTATGTAAATCACATCTTAGTAGTAAATGTGGATGATTCATGGCCAGAATAGAAGAATGGGGTTACATGATGGATATACATGATGGATAGAGCTGATACGCAAGTGACAGTGTCTACCGCAGTTACAATATTTCGGCAAATAAGCACAAATGAAAAGTTGCCATTTGCAAGTCATATATTTATGAATCTGTAAGGCATGGTTTGTGATTGAAACTTCATTTCTTACAACCCAGCAGCGCTTCGATGGCTTCAGTGAAAACAGCAGCCCTGGATCCCCATTCTTACACATTCCTGCTATTGAGCTGTTGTTTCACACATGTACAAGCTCTCTTTCAGATCAGTGGCTGCTGCTGCTGGGAACTAAGAAACGCATCGGAGGGGATAGAAGGAAATTCAATACTTTTCTGTTTCGGAGAGTAGCAATTCTGAGCCGTTCTTGACATTCATTTCCTCGGGGAAGAGACGGGAGCAGAGCCATACATTCATCCACCAGTTTGGAGCAATCGGTGACATCTATAGGATAAAAAAAGAAAACCCCAAAGTACTGCAATTATTAAACCTCAGCTAAATGTGCAATATATCACAGGAGTGAAGCAATCCATGTTTGTCAACCCACAGAATACATCTATTAGCCAAACAAACTACTTTCCAATATTGAGTTGTGTAGTGTTGAGAGGGAAACACCTTCCGTGAGTGACAAAAAATAAAAGATTGAAATTGGGAGACAAAAACCAAAGGGAAGGACAATTTTCAAGGCAGAGGAGGATTGAAATTGGTTCCAGAATCACACATATAACAATCACAGTAACTAGCAGCAGCACCAGAAATGGACTATTTCATTTTTTAAATATACACACAAAGAAAGATCTTTATAAGGTCTGCCCACCTTGTACTCTCACCCGCCAGTCTTTTTCCAGAAAGATCACACTATTATTTCTTTTCTAAGAATGATTCCATAGTAAATTTCTTTCAAAGAACAATTTCTAAATACATTTTATTCTGTTAAATTACTTCTAGATTAATTCAAGCTGTTAGTTTTGCTTTTGCAAACATTAACCAGAATGATAAGGCTCAGCCTCAGTAAATGTAGTCTCATTTACTTCCACTTTTATTATATGAATGAAATTATCGTTTAATTTATGCATTTTATTTTGGATTGTACGGCCTGAAGTACCCTCAGGGTCTCACAGGTACTTACAGCTTCTCTGCTTCCAAGCCCGCAGATTCACATATGTAGATGGAAATATAACATATTCCAATTTCAGCAATGCTGAAGATTTCTTCATCATGTATTTATAACCATGTGGAAATCAGTTAAGCGCATGTACATCCAGCCTCTTTTGTATGCAAAATCCACGCTTGAGTTTCAAGTATAAATTCCGTACACACCTGATACTTTTCTTCACCACAGTGCTATTCAGTGTGATTTAACGATCCATTTTTGTTTGTTTTCATCTCCTTGTTTTTGCACGTTAGGCCTTTGAGCAGAGAAACTGTCTGGGGAAAGGAAATATAATGTTTTTATATATTTCATTCTTAGTTATACCCACACACCGGATATAATTTTCTTTCACACACATACACCCTACATCCTCCGTCCATGTTCCTTTCGCTGACCATAACATGCATCAGATACCTACACTTATTCCTCTCTCTCACTTTTGCAGACCAGATGGGTTGCTTTATAATGTTTCCTGGGCACAACTTTTACACACCTTTGCATTGGCTGTTTCTCTCTCTCTCTCTCTTCCTTTCGATAAACCGAGTTCCACCGTTGCAATTCTGATAGGCCCACTCAGAAATATTTCGTGGCATTTGATACCCAGGGCAAATGTTAATTCTTTTCAAAACCCCCCAGGAGCGGAGGGTCCAAGGTTTACGGACTGCCAACTATACGCACACCCGGCCTAGGCAGGCGAGCCCAAGCGAGGAGAATTTGGCGTTAACAGATGCACAATGTAGATTGTAGACGGCTTCCTTTCGGCGGCGGAGCTCGCCCACCCCGGGGGCTAAAGATAATATAACGGGGCTCCTGCCTACTCCGCGCTGTCACGTCGGCCTGTCAGTCGGCTGGTAATTAATGCGAACTGCGGGTCCGGCGCCCCACCGGAGTCGTATATCACTGCCAGCTCCCGCGCGGCAAAGCAACCTCTTTTACCCAAGCCCTGTTATTTGGGGAATTTTCTATGTATTAGCTGTTGATGCACATTAATACATTAAAAATGTCAGCGGTGGAGGCCAGCTAATTGTCTGATTTAAATGTCTATTTGTCAGCGCGCGGCTCAGGTGGGCATGAGCCGAATCGGGAATGAAGCACGGAACCTGTCTCGGGACGGGCGGGGGGGCGGCTCTCGCCCGAGCCGGGACGCGGGAATGATCGATGGCAGAGACGCGCGGCCCAAAATGTTTGCGTTTCTGCTCGGCTTGCCTCGGCGCGGGGGGGAGGCCGAGGGGGAGAGGCGGGGAGGGGGAAGGAGCCAAGGCAACCAGGAGGCCGAGAGGAAGGAAGCTTTTACTGAGGGGAGATAAAGTTTCCAGGTATTCTGGAGGGAGCCCTCCCGGGAGAAAGGAAAGACTGGCTCGGTTTCCTCCCCGGCTCCGGCGTCGGATTACAATACTCATCATCCACAACCGGCCGGGGCCTATGGGGAGTTGCAATCGAACAACGTTTAGCAGGTCTCATCTGACTCTATGGAGCTGAAACACCGGATCAACTGCTTTCCCTAGCTCGGCTGCATCGGAAAGGCTCTTTTTATTTGTCTGCTCTGGTTAATATCAGGGAAAAGATCAGAAAGAAAGTACTGTTGCAAGGCAAGGTTGGCCTTAGCTGGGGAAAGGTATCATTTGAGTCAGTATTTTTTGCCACAGACCACTGACCGGAGCATTATGGCTTGGAATATGTTTTCTTTCTGATGAAGAACAAAAGTGTAGTCCTTGTTGGTGATCTCTGAGCTTGCTTGATTTCTTGCAGAGGTTTCATTACCCAAACTAGGTAACATCATCAGTGCTACCTGTAGTACCTTGTAGCACTGAAGATTTATTTATTTATTGGTTCGATTTATATGCCGCCCTTTTCCGGAGACTCAGGGCGGTTTACAATGTGTTAAGCAATAGCCTTCATACTTTTGTATATACCTGCTTACTAGGGCTTTTGCCCCCCCCCTCCCCCCGCCAAGCAGTGTTCTTTTTTATACAAAGTCAGCTTATTGCCCCCACAAACCAGGTCCTCATTTTATCAACCTCGAAAGGATGGAAGGCTGAGTCAACCTTGAGCCTGGTGAGATTTGAACTTGCAGTAATTGCAGGCAGCTGGTGTTACTTAACAGTGCTTTAGTCTGCTGCGCCACCAAGGCTCTCTAGATGTCTCCTAGTTTGGGTAATGAAATGTCTGCAAGAAAACAAGCAAGCTCAGAGAGCAGCAAGGGCCCTTCATATTTACCCTGAGCTACAAATATTCTCCTTTATTACAACAAAAGTGCTTCTGAACATGTGCAGAGTGCACTTCCCATCCCACTCTTAAAGATGGGAAGGAAGGGGGGCCATCTAGGCAATGTGAACCTCAAAATCCTTTTTTTTTAGCAATCTGCAACAAAGCCAAGCTAGAAAATCAAAATGATTCTAATACTGTACTTGCCTCTGGATTACATCAGCCTCCAACAAGTCCTTTAAATATCTCACACTCAAACTCATATCCTATTGGCTGAGGAAAGACTTACACCTTTGGTTCAAGACATTTAGGAGATGGGAAAAGGCTGACATAGATAGTTTGAGAGATGATTTATTTATTTATTTATTTATTTTATTAAATTTCTATACCGCCCTTCTCCCGAAGGACTCAGGGTGGTGAACAGCCAGAAGATAAAACACAGAGATACAAAATTTAAAATAGATTAAAACGAATTAAATAATTTGGCTGAATTTTAAAATACCCCATAATTAATGATGTCAGCATTAGACCCTATACAATATTCCCAAATACTATTGGTTAATATTGCCCAAATTACCATCAAGCAGATTTGAGCTTACTTTGGAAGTAGGGGGAGGGAGAGAATTTCACTAATAATTTTTGTGGATCTTATCTTGCAAAAATTGTTTCTATTTTGTTGGGGGGGCATTCAAAAAGTGGCAAAATGCACACTGCAAACATGTCCTTTATCCCTAAATCAAAACATTCAATAGTCTCACATTATTCAGACGACAATATTCTTCACATTCAGGACAATGCTGTGAACTAGCATTGTTTCATATTGGATTGGCTAAATAAAAGACCTCCCATTTTTGTCAAGCCAGTGGGCAATTTTGAAATTCCGAGAGAATACCATGGGTGTAATAATAAAATCGATCGATTAACTGACTGATTGAACTTATACTGCCCTGCAATCCACAGACTCTAGATGGCTTATAAAGTATACAACTCATAACGAAACATCCACCATAAAACACCAATATATAAACGACAATAAAACAAATAAAATAATAAAAATGTTGCCATGCTTTAAAACAAGAAAATGTCAAGAATAGTTTGGTTTTGGGCCACTTTCTCAAAGCCAGCGGGAAGAGGGTGATTTTGATCTCCAAAGAGAGGCCATTTTAGAACAGAAATATCACCAACTGACCTTTGCTGGCTAGAAGGCTGGCTAGGTACAAGGAATACAGTGTGAAGAAGCCAATGTCCACCCAGGATCGAGGAAAGACAAAACACTTTTATTTCTGTATAGAAACAGAAAAGGGTTTCACCTCTGAGTTTCATACCCAAGGAGCAGCACCCCAGAAATCAGGCACAGTTATTTTTATATAACTTTCTACAGGAAAAAATAAAATAAGAGAATGGCTGATTGGTCCCACATTTACCTGTCTTCCACATGGCGCACGAAGCAAAGCCATTCCATAATAGTCAATTAATTATTTAATTCTACTTCATTATTATATAAGTTGACCACCTCAGGGTGTGTTTTTTACTATGTTATTACTGATAAATTTTGCTCGCCTCCATCCGGATCCTTGTCCAGATGCCCCTAAGCAGTGCTTAAGCTAAACATCACAGTCACCTTCCTTAATTTCAATAACCGGTTCATTTGCAAGGTCTTTTTAGTCAAGGGTCAAAGCCACAACCTATTAACTAATCTAAATAGGAGACATCTGTGGTCAAAGTAGGGAATGTTTGTGGTCAACCCCTCTAGCTCTTGCTGGCAAGTGTTCTCTAGCACGCAAAGACACAACTATTAACTCTGGCTAAAGTTAATTCATCGCGTAGAAAAGCTGCTGATTTCTTATTAATAAGCTAATAAGTCACCAGGCACCCAAACTGAAGGGGTGTCATAACTCTAATTAAAAACTAGGCAAATTTTCACTCGTCCTCCACTTTGATGCCACAGCAGATGATTCTTACAAGATGTAGTTGTTTGGTCAATTCTGGTTAATAATAGCTAATGAAATGGGAAAGGGAAAGTATATCTGCTAACAAAATGTCTGCCGTGATTAGTATGGCTGGTCATCATATACAGATAGTCCTTGACTTATGACTACAATTGGGACCAAAATTTCCATTGGTAAACAAAGCAGTTGTTAAGTCAGTCATGCCCGATTTTACTATCTTTTTGGCCATGGCTGTTAAGCAGATCACTGCAGTTGTTAAAAGAGAATCATATGAATCATACAGGAATCTGGCTTTCCCCACCGACTTTGCTTGTCAGAAGTTGGCTGAGCAGGACACAAATAGCAATCACATGACCCCGAGATGATGAAACCATCTTAAATACATTGTCGGTCCCCAAGCAACCAAATTCTGGCCATGTGACCATGGGGATGCTGCAACATTCATAAGTCTTAATATTGGTTGCAAGTCATTTTTTTCAGTGCCGTTGTAACTTTGAAGAGTTACTAAATGAATGGCTGGAAGTCAAGGACTTACCTGTACAGGACTAGGGTTAAAAGGACTCAACAGATGGATATAAATGATTCCCCATTCTCTCAACCTGGTACCTGTTGATGACTTAAGGCCAGCAGCCCCCAAACCTTTGGGAGCCAGGGACCAATTCCATTTTTCTGTAGACTGGATCGGGCGTGGTTTCATGTACTGCCTATATCCCGCACATGCACGGATGGGGTTCACTCGTTTGTGCAGCCCAGTTTTTGGTGCACCGGGGACTGATGCCAGTCTATGGCTCGGGAGTGGGGACCCCCTGCTTAAGGCTAGTGCACAATGCTCCCTCCTCTTTTGTCTCTGGATGTTGTCCTCAGTAGTGGTATTCACTTACCTTCGCTACCGGTTCGGAAATGTGAGTGCGCGTGCGCTCGCTTCACTCGCACATGCTACCTCTGTGCATGTACAGAGCGTTCATGATGACGTTCGGGAGGGTGGGCGGAGCCTCCCACTGCCGCCGCTACCGTTCACTTGAACCGGGTAGAATTGGTAGAATCTCACCACTCCAATACAAGTAGTCCTTGACTTACAATCACAATTAAGCCCAAAATTTCTATGTGACACAGT